CAGTCACACCTTCCAGCCCACAGCTCTAGCTCTCTCAGTCCACAGAAACAGTCACACCTTCCAGCCCACAGCTCAGCTTCTCACTAGTGAGACCGGCCCTCCTGCTTCACCTTGGACTGAGGGTTTCCTAGGAGATGAGTCTGCCTGTGCAGCACTGGGACAGACCTGAGCAACCAGCAGGGACATCACTCCATTTCTAAAACCCTCTCTCCAACAGTCCCCTGCGGTTTATTTCAACCTGCTCTCTCTCTACAGAAGCAACTGAGGACGTGTGCATTGGGGTTGACACTTCCCTACACATCCCTCTTGTTTTGTCAATTCTCATCATATACAAAGGTCAGAAATTCTTATAAACCCTGTAAGAAATATTCGTAACACATTTTTCAGAATCTCAGCAACTGGAGTGTGGCATATAGCACAAAAGACCATTTGTGGGGTGTAGGCTGACCACCAAGGGACTGTAACAAAGAGGCCAACACACAGAGCCAGTCAACACGAGGAAGGAGGCCCCCTGTACTGACGGGTGCACATGGGGCAGGCCCAGTCTGCCAGCTTAGAAGGTGGTCAGTGTAGAGAGGTGGTCAGCTATGGAGGTTCTAGTGTGTGTCTACCTATGTATATCGTCAATATTTTCAATCAATATCATTTTACAGACTAAAGGGTATCTCACCATTCTCAGTATAACAAATTCTACCTCTGGATTATCCTGGTGACATGATTACATGTCTAAGAATCTATACAGGACTTGGCAATATCTCTTCAATTACATTGGCAATAGGAGCTACTGAAAACAAAAGAAAAACCACAGAATGGAATTCAGTGGAATTTAGTATGAGTATAAACGTACCTTGTTTTAGGATCTGACTGCAGGATGGCAAAGTTGCACCCACTCGGGTCTGTGCTGATGCTGACGGCTCTGTGGGCAAAAGCAAGTCTCTCCAGCCGGATCCTTTCATACACACTATTCACATCAGAGACACAAGACGCATCTGATGAGGAATTATGAAGGTTTGATAAAATATCTGCTAAAAAGCAAAAAACCTACTATTAATGAAGGCTTTATAGAAACAATTAAATGATGTAGGAATAAACAGAATAGAAAAATCACTAGGAAAATATCTTTTATGAATATTAAGTTCTTTTGTAGAACTACATTCGCTCTTCAACACAAAACTTTGCACCCAAACTTATTTGTTGTATTATGCAGGAAATTTCAGGTGAGTCAATTTCCAGTTAGCCACGATCTCCTCCCTTCTTACAAACACACCCTTCATACTGTGACCAGTTATCTTTCTATAAAACAAATCCAGTGTCTTACGACCTTTTAAAATCCCTTAACTTGCATTAAAAACACATAAATTTAGTATCTTCCTAATCTAATTTATCTGCTTCCTCCTTTCCTCTGCCTCCTTTCTTGCACTGACTCAGGGAATAGCTGAGTAGCCCCACCGTGTTACTGTGACCCTCATCATCAGTCCACTGAGTCAGGAGTAAACAACACAAGCACATCCCCACTCTTCAGAAGACACACGTTCAGTGATCACATCATTACAAGTCTCAGCAAGGCTATAAAGGCAAAGTTTATATCACTCCCACATTGACAAGAAATTTGTATATAAGATGATTCTGTGTGAAAAATGTAAATGAAAAACAGACACAAAGAAGCTCTTTAAGAAGTTATGTTCAGAGAAAAGAAAAAGGATGATGTGGTTGGAGGCTGTAGCAATGAATCCTGAAGAAAGTGGAAAGATCTAAGAAGTATCTGAGACAGAAGTAACAAAACTTGGTGACTAAGTGGATGTACAGGGTGAGGGAATCAAAGACAACTATTTACCAACAGAGAGAACGTTGAAAAGCAGCTGTGGGAGCATAAGAACATCAGTTTCAGATCCCTACACGTGACTAAGACGCACTTGTAAGAACCTCCAACATTCACACATCAACCTGCACTCTGGTCACCCTCTCAGATTCACTCTTCACTAACCTTCCCCGACACTCAGTTACCCCCCTTCCTGTGCTCCCCAGAAACACTCTGTGTGCACCTTACTGCAGGTCTCAGTGAAACACCGATATTTACACACTTGTCTGTTCTCCCTGCAAGTTCAGGAGGGTCTCACAACAGAGGCCCACCTTGTATATTTTTGCATCATTAAAACATTGCCCTACATCTGCCACATAGAAAATATATATTAAATGTTTATGAACTGGAATAATCTATAAAGAAATAAAGGACATATAACAAATCAATAAATTATCCCCTAATCATTCCTTTGTGACTTTACAATTTTGAAGAATATGCTTAGCATTTTCTGAGTAACAAAAATTACTATAGGAGAAGAGTATTAAACAAATTAGTGACAAAGATTAATACATAAATACAGAAGGGTGAAAGCTCCTAACACTTGTTAAATTAAAGGTTAACTGAAAGGCACTTTCCTGTGCCCTCCACATACATAAACTGACCTTTTTTTTCAGAACTCTTCCTTTTTTCTTCAAACCATTTCCCTCTAAATCCTTCTCCATCCTGTGTGACAAACAGAATTTCATTTCTATTTAAGGCAATATCAGAAATGAAGACCTGGCGTGGATAGGCCCATCGGCACTGCTTCAGAGAACTGCTGGCTGATCTCCAGCAAAAAACCTAGAGTAAGAGCAAATCGCGTTGGAACATGAAGCAACACGGCGTCTGAACCGAGACCTAAGCTTAAGAGATGAAGCGGGAGAATCAACGCTCTGCCTGACGTGTGTCAAAGTTCATTCTTCCACAGAAAAAGGAGTATACGATAAGTCAAACTGATTTTAAGGAACTTGGCCTTTCAGTAAAGTACATTAAAACATGAAGAATTAAAAATTATTTCAATGACACTCCTTTCAAGAAGTAATTTTCACTATTACAAAATGCAATGCTGAAGAAAAACAAAATTGTAGAGCTGCAATTTAGATGGCAGGCTTGTGCAATGTCATGTATTTAAAGAAAAATGAAAATCACCCTACAAAATTCCCAACTTAACTCTCAAGAAAAAAAAAAATCGATGTATGCATAAACTCCATCATATAATTAAGACAAAAAGAGACGGACAGTTACAATGGTTCTGCAGACCCAGAGCTCCTGAGGGGCCTATGGACTGTTGCTGGGAGCAGAGTGCTCCAACTGGACGGCGGCTCCCAGCCCATCGCCAACCAGAGCAGCAACTCTTTTATCCATTTCATATATTGGTATTCCAAGATTTGTAAAAGTTCAACTCCCTCATAATCAAGTTAAGAAATCTAAATTTACAAAACAGAATCTGCTAAGGTCACGAATTATTTACACACACCAAAGACTGACTGACTCCTTCAGAGTTTCCTTCTCCTACCGAGACTCTATTTGGCAGTAAGTACATTCCCAGAAGTACAAGCTGTATCTGTGCATATTTATGTAAGTAAAAGCACATCTCAAAGTCAAATATAAAATTTTTACATTTAGCTCCTTATACAATCCTATTCCTTTACTTCTTTCCACAAGTACAAATTAGAGGTCCAATTATTAAATCTAATTCCCTCCATTAAAATTAACAACTGCAGCAATTTATGCCTATGATGAACCAATAGATGGAACTTTATGACTAATTTTTCAATTTCTAAAATATCAAGTTTTACTTTGAAAGTAAAGTACCTGAAGTACTTTATAAACGTCAACAATCTTAACCAAAATCAGTAAGCTATCTGTTTTTCTAGCTGCAGTTGCAAGCTTTTCAGTGTTATTAATGTGTGTAACATAGATTTTTAATTTAAATATTTTATGTTAATATATTAAGTATATATTTAAATACATAATTTTAAAATACATTTTAAATTAATGATTTTAGAGAAATATACTGATACGTCAGTCAGCACAAGAAACCAAAATTAGGGTGCTGCTCAACAGAAAGGTCTTCACGTTCACGTCATCTAGAAATAATCTCTTAGCTGTATATGAAATATGTATTTGTATAAAACTAAATCTGGGAAAAATTTCCAATTATGCATCAAATTTATGATATTGCCTGCTTAATCTTTACCATAAGACATGTTATCTATGCAATTCAATACCATGTGTCAGTAGTTAGTATACATACCAAATAACTCATCAAAAATCTCTTATTTTCATCCTAAGCATAATAAATAAAATTATAAATTACAGTTTAATAAACACTACTGTATAATAGATTAATGTTGTCATACTTTCTCTGAAATAGAAGCTCCATACTAATTACTAATTAGTATTGAATGTGAAAAATAAGTAACAAACTCAACAGGAATCATCACTAACACAGCAATGCATTTCCACAGTTTCAGGTCCCCACAGCTAGATATGGGGAGTAAGACTGATGCATAAATACACGCTCACCCTTCCAGCGCCATCCATCGCAAGAATGCAAATTTTTTGATCCCCATTTTCTTTCAAATGTTCAGGATCGACTTTGTATTCCATATAACCCCCAGACACAAGAACCTTTTTCAAGTTCAATTGTCTACATGAAAAAACAAAATCCAAGATTAGTATGTTCTCAAAAATACACATGCTAAACTTTAAAGAAATTACCATTCTAACAATAATTCGTAGGCAACCACTGAGAAAGGCCTTTGGCCTCCCTTGTCCTTCCTTTCACATACACGTCCCCTACAAAGTGGCTCTTTTTTTCCTACGCAAAGTCCTTTCCCCTCAAATGCCTTCAGCCACATGCACGCAGGAGACACCCACAGCCTCGCTGGCAGTGCACACTCACTTTGGATTTTAAGTAACTGGTGAAGCTATAAGGTCCTCATGCATTTGCATTTTAACAGAAAAGACAAATTTTAAACCACAAAATTAAATAGAGGAGCTTTTTTTTTTTGCAGTTTTTTTTTTGGCCGGGGCTGGGTTTGAACCCACCACCTCTGGCATAGAGGGCGGGCGCCCCCTACTGCTTTGAGCCACAGGTACCTCCCAATAGAGACTTAATTTGAAACACAACCAACCTTAAATAGGCACAGCACCTGTGCAGCTCAGTGTATGAGACTTGCAAATCACCCGGCTGGCCACCTATATCGTCATCTCTGCACACTTGAGTGCAAAGCACTGCATGAACCTGCTTGCCACACCAGTGACTGTCCCTGCCACTTCAGTGACTGTCCCTGCCACTCTAGTGACTGTCCTGTCACTTCAGTGACTGTCCTGCCTGCATTGAAAAAGTGCTCTTTTCAAAATTACTACACTGTAACTTAATCAGTAACAAAAGGATTTTCTTAGCAGAAAACCTGGATATAACTCATTTATGTGATTTAAAGTTATAAGGGGAAATTCCATAAATGTCAACTAAAAATACAACCTAATGGCTCACAAATAACCTCAAGTTCAGGGGAAAAAACCCATTGAAGTCAGTGCTAAGAAATACGCATGTTCACATTTTCATGTTTCTGTCACTGAAATCAGTACTAAATAAAGTCAAAAGTGCCTTTTCAGTTGTCACACACAGAAGTTAAATTGTGACAAATTGATGTTTGACATTCTTTCCTCAGGAATGAATTCATGGGTGGTATCTGTTTATGAAATTACCAACTTTTACATCAGTAAAAACACACTTAATTTTATTCAACTCTAAATTTAAATCCCTACTTGCTTCACAAGTTCTCTAATTCCTGCACATAATGGCTGGCACTAGTTGAACTATATTCTTCTGAGAATTTTCTGTGCAAAGATCTATTTCTGTACTTATATTAATATAATTATATAATGAAATATTATATAAACTAATGCAGTATTAGTCTGAAAATCTGTAAAGGTTGAATACTTTGGAATGATAAAATATGAGCAGCAAAAACACTGCTGTCAAATCAGATGCAGATTATTAATCAGCTAAAAAGGACCGAAATGGATTAAAAATAAAGGATCCTGTATGTTGTAATCATTTTTCAGCACTTGCTTCTTTCAAAATGAAATCACAGGTAACACATTCCAAGAATGGCTCATACAAAAAGATGGCAGGCGCGGCAGCTCACACCTATAATCCCAGCATCTGGGAGGCCAAAGCAGGAGGATCCCTTGAGCTCAGGAGTTTAAGACCATCCTGAGCAAGAGCAAGATCCCGTCTCTACTAAAAGTAGGGAAAACTAGCTGGCCGTGTGGTGAGTGCCTGAAGTCCCAGCTACGCAGGAGGCTGAGGCAGGAGGATTGCTTGCACCTAGGAGTTTGAGGTTGCTGTGAGCTAGGCAGATGCCACAGTACTCTAGCCTGGGCGACAGAGTGAGACTATCTCTTTAAAAAAAAAAAAAAAAAAAAAAAAAAAAGACAAGGCACTCCAATTGCAGAGCCGTCTATATTCAAACTTTCTGAGCCTCCACACTGACCTTGGCCTTAGCCAGCCAGCTGCTAGTTTACTGCCTGCTGCTATAATGTGCTTTCAAACAAGAGGTTGTACAAAGATTAAAAAACAGACCAGTTAATATGCACTGACCCTGCATATAGGGTTAAATAAAAAAGAATTATTTTTTAAAAATAAATAAGTATGACATAAAAACGGCTACATATAAAGCAAGGATAATGGTGTCACCAACCAAGGATTGTGATGAATCTAGTTCTGTGTACCTGAAGAATCACCAAAAAAAAATTTCTGGTCATACCGAATCCTATGTCAAACATCATTCAGAAATACTGTTTTACAAACTACAAAGAAATTTTACACGTATTTACTGAATCTTTACCAAAAGACAAACATCAAAGACAATAATTTCTGATACTTTCTCCCTTTTGATTTCTGCTTATTTGACATTTACAGAGTATAACGCAAGGTTGACACTCAGATTTTTGCTGAAAAATACTATTAAATACTATCAAATAAAATTAATAAATTTTATTTTAATTAATTAATTTTTAATTTAATTAATTTTAATTAATAAAATTAAATTAAAAATACTAGTTAAATACTATTAGAGTTGTGCCTCTTTCACAGAAACATACACACATACTTAGAAGCCATCTTTTTGCACTGATAGTCAGCGAGCAAGTAAACATCACCCCTCGTGGTGACACAGACGGTGGCACCGTCGCTGGCAGCGACCAAGGACAGAGTGACGTCTTTGTGATGAAGGGCAGAGACTTGGCGTGGGGCAGTGACACACCTCTCTCCATTAGGATCCAGTAAGTAGCCTGAAAAATCACACAAACAAATGACAAATATCCCTTTCAAGAGTCAATTTATTTTTCAGATATTTTCATCAAAAGTTTCTTACCTAGTTGCCCACCATTTAGTCCCAGAGTGTAAACAGCGTCTCTAGTCCAAAGAACTGTGTGAAACTTGCCGGCTGCCACCCCAATGATTGTTCTTCCTTTCAGATATTTTCCCTGCATCTATTCAAAAAGACAAATAAGAATGAAGTTTACTACATATGGATGACAATCTTTTTTTTTCTTGAGACAGGAGCTCTAGCTGTCGCCCTGGGTAGAGTGCCGTAGTATCATAGCTCACAGCAACCTCTTGAGCTCACAGCAACCTCAAACTCTTGGGCTCAAGTGATCCTCTTGCCTCGGTTTTTCTATTTTTAGTAGAGACAGGATCTCGCTTTTGCTCAGGCTGATCTCAAACTCGTGAGCTCAAGCAATCCACCTGCCTCAGCCTCCCAGAGTGCTGGGATTACAGTTGTGAGCCACCGCGCCTGGCCTGGTGCAATTTTCAAAGATCCATTAGACTTGCATGTCCACAGGCCCTCGGACACTAATCTCAGCACTCACACTGACACAAGATGTAGCCACTGTCCTTCTGCACTTCTGACAAACAGAAAATTGACAGGTATAAACACCAAATCATTACAATTCTTTGGCTATTTTTTTCTAACAAACAATGTACAAAACAGGCCTTCTAATTCTTATTAGAAAACACAGCTCTTCTAAACCCAGGCTCTTGCGATGGTGGCACTGCTGACACTGGGAGCCCATCACTCGCTGGAGGCTCACAGGGATGCCCCGGGTGTCGAGCAGTCTCTCTGACCCCACCCCTGACTGCCAGCAGCACTACCACCTCCAGTGTTAACAGCTGACATATCTCCAGACCTTGTGAAATGATCCCTGAGGCTTAAAACTGTCTCCAGCTGAGTACATTATACCTGTCCATGTTCACCTAGAGCTCCAAGGGCAGCCACACAATGAGAATTAAAATTGGAGTAAAAATGTATTTACATTCCTAAAAAGTCTATAACATAGACGGCGCCTGTGTCTCAAAAGAGTAGGGCACAGGCCCCATATACCGGACGTGGCAGGTTCAAAGCCAGCCCTGGCCAAAAACTATAAAAAGAAAAAAATCTACAACATGCACATCTACAACATCTACAATATTCACAAATTCCCCGGGTGATTACACTAAAAAAGTACACTGGAGACTATTCCCTAATTATTCTGGGGTAACTCCTATCTATCTATATCTAATAATAATTTTAAATGTAGAGGATTAAACCAATAAAGAAATTTCATATCTGAAAAGCAAAAATTTTATGACTTAAAACCCCTTTGTTGTAGGTGATGACTCTAGGGACATTAACTTAGGGCATCCGCACCAGCTCCCGCGCTATGTGCCGGGTCTCTGAAGCAGGGGAGGCGCCTCTGGTGCTGCCCGTGAGGAGCAAAGAAGGGGTAACAAAGAACTGAGCCCACATCCCTTCACATCAACTGGTACGGACGTCTGCGCAGAGGCAGATTTAATGACGCAAATAAAACGGAGGTTTTTGAGTGCCTCAACTGCATTAGCCCATTTTGTATTGATAAATTTAATATTTTTTAAGGACCCTAAAAATTGCTTAAGTTTCAAACCAAAAATATCCAGACCTCCCAATGGTTCTGAGTAGACAAAAGTCGAATCCAGGGCAGTCTGGTGGGAAACCCGCCGAGTGCCTCTTTCCCAAGTGTTTGCTTTCTTACTCAAATAAATACTAAGATACCCTATACCTAAGATTCTCCCCTGAAAAAAAAACAGAGTATATACCACTGAAGTTAAATAACATACATAAAATAAGTTTTGCCAATATTTTACATCCTTTTGTCCAAATAAGTTTTAGAAGAAATAGTCTCATTATTTAAAAAGAGAAGCTTACCTGTCTAGGTACATTACAGCTGGAAGGTGGAGGAATAATTCCTAATTGATGAAAAACGTTCAGACCAAACGTGTAAACACATCCATCTTCAGTTAGTACGACAGTGTGATCCTCGGCGGCTGCCACTAGGGAACAGTTATGGCCACTCAGTCCTTCCACCAGCCTGGGGATCTACAAAGCAAACCTCCATGTAATAACTATGGGTAGAGAAACGCAAACAGAACCTGAAGACGCCATACCCAAGATGGCACAACCGACACGGCTCCATCTACCACAGGGAAGCGTCACATTTCAGTAAAGGGTGATGAGTTTAAAGGGATATGGTTACTGGTTTACATAAGCCCAGTGAGACATTTCAATGAAGTAATCCACCAAATAATTTTTTGAGCTCTTACCACATGCCAAGTGCAAATTTGTCTGGTATAAATAAAGGGAGCTCTTCAAAGTATTCACTGGAATATGGGGGAGGGGGGGACTAAGGCTTCCCTTCAACAAGCAGCCAAACACACAATACTATGCTCCCCGAAGTCACCTGTCCTTCAAGTCCTCCTCCTGCTGCTTTCTACTTAGCTACGTGATCTCAACCTAATTTTTCATTCTCCTCGTCTGAAAACAAAGCAAGCAACCAACACATGACTGCAGTACTAGTATTATTACTGTGCATAAAATGAAGACAATAATGCCTCCCCTCCCAAGGCTGTGGTGAGGCTCCAGCTAAAGGAGTGAGTCTACAGGAAAAGCCTAAGCAATGCCCAGAATGCAACAAACCCTCAAAACTAGAAGCTATTGTTAGAGATTGCCCTCTGCCTTAAAGGAACCGTTAATAGATAACAAACATACCAGAAGTCCCTTCCAAAGAAATCTGAAAATTAACCTAGTGAGCCAGACAGGTAATAAACTCAGTTTCCTCCAATTAGCACTAGGTTTCATTAGCATAAAAATCAGTTTTGTGACTAAACAATCAAAACACTGGCTCAATTTTTAGACCACGGGTATAGCTAGAAGTTAAAAACAAATTAGAAATTTGACTATTTCAGGGAAAGAGCTTTAAAGTCTTCCTGTTATTATTTCAACTCTGGCAACATAATTCAAAGCTTATTTGTATACTCATCTAACTCAGTATTTGCTGTAATCAAAATATTATTTTTCTTTACAACTTTTACATTGCATCAAAATTTGTTATTTACATAAGACATACCTGGAAAGTAATAGTTTTTTTTAAATCTGTTATCAATAGGTGTATAATTTTCTCCTCACAGCTGGGGGGAAAATGTAGTTAACTGAAGCTTCCTGTGTGTCCAGCTTTTACCACAGTTAACTAAACAGTGTAAGGACATTTCAGTTACCAAGCATGTCTGTTCATCTCCATGACCTAATCGACCTCCAGGACCGTGGCCACACGTATAAACTTGCCCTTTCTGAGACAGAAACACTGAGTGAAATTTACAAAGCACCACCTAAGGGAAAACAAGAAAATATTATTAAATTTCAGTAAATAACCTTTATTTTATAAAAAAGAAATAAAGCTAATTATTTAAACTAGATATTGGGTACAGGGGAATTTCTTAGAATTCTTTCTCTATATACATATTTTCTGTAATAAAAAATAAAAGGAATCTATTATGTTTTATTTTTAAATTATGTCTCAAAACACTGACATATGGGAAAAGACAATAAAGGAATTAAGCATGTGTTACCAACAGAAGGGAACAAACCAGAGCTGTCCAGCTTACAGCCCGGGGTCCATGCTGATTTTGTGAGGACTTTCTGGCTTATCTGTGGTATCAGGTATCACAAAATGTATGCCTGGACCTTTTATTGCAAATCAGCTTTTGCTAGTGTTTGTAAATTTCATGTGTGGCCCAAGACAACTCTTATTAGATAATAAATATGTCAGAAGTCCCACATTTCCAATGTGTAGCACAGAAAAAGAAAAGGTTGGAGACCTTGGATTAAAAAAAGAAAAATGTACATTTTAAGTCTTTGACTATACTAATAAAAAGTAGCAGTCAGTTACTTTTCTTTTTTTTTGAGACAGAGTCTCACCATGTTGCCCTGGGTAGAGTGCTGTGGCATCACAGCTCACAGCAACCTCAAACTCTTGGGCTTAAACGATTCTCTTGTCTCAGCCTCCCAAGTAGCTGGAACTACAGGCGCTCACCACAACACCCAGTTATTTTTCTGTTGCAGATGTCACTGTTGTTTAGCAGGCCTGGGCTGAGGTGGAACCCGCCAGCCTGGGTGTATGTGGCGGGCGCCCTACCCACTGAGCTACGGGCACCGCCAAGCCAGTTACTTTTCAATTCTACTTAATACCAAACAGCAAGAATTGTGCACAGCACAATATGAAGCATAAAGTTCACCAAGTAATGATGTGTGACTAATAAAAACAGCAGAAATACACTAAGAGTATTTTTAAAAAACGACAGTGCCTTTAACACATGGGGGATGGGGCAGTACGTTCTTTTCCGTCTCTCTAGTTTTGTCTAATTTATCGGCAATACTATTAAATGGTCTTAAATCATTTTAAATTGATTCCAAGTTCTCTCTTTCCTACCTCCCTTCTCCTTATCGGCCTCATTCCCAACACCCTCCGGGCCTCCTGAAATGCAGACTTGTGAATTCACACATTGCAGCAGCAGCAGCAGCACTGCAGTAACAGCCTCCGAGCCGCACACACCTGCACACTCCCTGCTACTCTCCACGCTGTCCAGACACATTATAGTCACGGTACCCTCATAGCACTTAAAAATTATTTTTTTTAATTATTTGCATTTACACTTCTTATGTCATCTATAAATAGTTCTAACTTAGGATATAAAAAGCTGAGTCAGAAATAAAGAATTCCTTTAATAATTTTTAGAAAGTCAAAGTCCTTTAGAAAGTAAGAAAATCATGACTGAACAACAAGCTCTAATATTTGCACATATCCTTAGACCACTCAGAGTTCTATAAACATGATGTACCTATCAAAAAAAGCAATACAAAGATCATTATCTCAGTTAGCTGTACCAGAAACACCTGAAAACAAAGTCTTAAGCTAAAACCCAAACTTGTTTTTTAAAGTTACAATTTGTCAGGGAAAAAAATCATTTTATAAAGTTGGAAATGATATATGTCTTTCCATTTTTCATTCAATATTGGAATGCCATTCTACACCTTCTGAATTCTAGTATTAAATAACCAGCAACACCATACAGTTCAAGTCCTCCAACTCTAAAGCCTCTTTAAAATGAGACAACGGAGCTTGGTTTTTTACCTTAATTCTCTGAAATGTACAATGCCGATATTAAGAATCTCTGTCTCAGAGTAGCTAATTCACTTGGAACTACGCTACAGCCAGCTGCCCCAGGTGGCTGGCAGGGCTTCCTTCCTAATTACTGTTCATGTAACATACCCACACGAGCTTCCTTCCATGACTGACACGGCTCTCCTTTCTCTCACAACTATCCATAGTGCTCACTTCACCCTCATTCTGCAGTCAATAAAACCCCTTAGATCATCATTCTCTCCATAGACACTCGCACTGCCTCCCAACCTGCAACGCAGCCTTCCCTTTCCACCCATGATGCCGTCACATGGAACATGCTTGGTGCTTCTATACCACACGCATCTAGGGATAAGACATTAGGGTTCCCCAATGCCACCACTATTCCTTCACTTTTGTCTAAAAACCTGTGCTCCTTAATAGCTCATGAAATTAGACTTATCATAGGCCAGGCACAATGGCTCATGCCTGTAATCCCAGCACTCTGGGAGGCCAAGGTTGACGGATTGCCTGAGCTTACAGGTTCGAGACCAGCCTGAGCAAGGGCAAAACCCGGTCTCTAAACATAGCTGGGCATTGTGGCGGGCACTTGCGTAGTACCAGCTACTTGGGAGGCTGAGGCAAGAGAATGGCTTGAGCCCAAGAGTTTGAGGTTGCTGTGAGCTGTGATGCTCCTCCTTATCTCAAGTTCCTTTCAGGTCTATGCAAAGGGCCACCAGAATCCTAGGTTTCAGGTCTCAGCCCCCCAAGTAACTGGGACTCCTCCCTGTTTCTGTAGTCGCTGTTCATTCCCACTTGGGCTTCTGTTCCCGACCTCCCAAATTTAGTATTCTCTGGAGTTGAATAATAATTCCATTTCAGTAGTTCTTAAATTGCTGGTTATGATCCATTAGGTTGTGACTTCCAGGTTAAAAACAGTGTTCCGTAGAGCCTGAAATATGGTGGCCATATAATTTATAATCCAAATATTTCTGAGAATGAAAGGGATATTAACAATTACTCCAGGAAAGTTATCATAAACCACAATTGTCCTAGGCAAACCAGGCATATGTAGTCCAAGGAGTCCTAAAAATTGAGAGTTCAACCTCAGAACATGAGCTAAGTGTTTATCATGTAACATGTTATACCTGAAAATGTGGTGGAAGTTGAGAAGAGCCATTACTGTCTTAGTAAAATACTCCAAGATCATATTCTAACTTAAAGTAGCTTTATCAACTTTACAACACGGAAAGAACACAGATAGGAAATTATGGGAAACACAAGCTAAAGTGGTAATTTAGGAAGATTGAAAAGAGCCTTACATTCCAAACCAATAGAGTTTGGATTTTGTCCAAAGGTGAATTAGCAGGTAAAGACATAATTACATCTGCTTTTTAAAGACAATTCTGGAAAAGAATATTAATAGGGATTGAAAACGAAAGATGCCACGGACAATTGGGACATACTGTTCTCCCTGTCCAGGAAAAAGCCTGAAAAAGACAGCAGCTGGTTCATGAGACAGAGAGAATGCGGCAGACATGGGGGAGGGAACTAATATCAAGTAGAGAGAGTGCAGGAGCCGCAAAAACAGCCCTTCAGACATGTTAAATTTAAATGCCTTGAAAGAATATCCAGAGCACAACTGAAAGGAAGCTCAAGAGAAAGGCCGCGGCTAGAGATCTCTCTCTCTCACACACACACACACACAGACGCACACACAGATGCACACACACACACATGCACGCATATCTGTGAACACATGCACAGCGTTCTAAAAAACAGCATCAATAGCAGCAAAATCTTTGGAAGTAGAAGGTATCATCCAACATAAGCACACAGACCAAAGGCCAAGCCGATACACTCACATCAATCAAAGTTCTATAATTACTTACTGAAGAACTCTGGTTCATGAGAGAACATCACTCACACCCAGGATCTAAGGAAAACTGCTGAGTGCCACTCCCCTGAAAACTGCCTATCTCTGGAGGTGATGAGACTTGGGTTCTCTCTACCACCCAGTGTCTGAACTGTGACGTCAGCTTTTAATTACTTACTGCTTGCCCGTGTGAGACATTCAGACTGGCTGCAGTCTGTATTCCCCCTTCAGGAAACATCCTAGAGCCTGACTAGACTGTGGGTGGCCAACGTCACACCTGATCAAACATGTTCTCTTCATGATGTAAAAAGTAGCTTGGAACCTAAAAATGCGATTGCATTACACAAAGATGCAGAAAGGGTGTGTTTTTTAAATTAAAATTACTATATTTGTTTTACACTCCCACCAAAAAAAAAAAAAATTCAGGTTTAGGTTCACAAATCAAAAACCACATTAGTTTTTGCTACAACAACAAATTCACTTGAGAAACAATTCTAACTTCTGCTAAATGAAACAAAAGCTAGAAAATTAACAGCAGCTCTACCTTACTAAAATTAATGTCTGTATAGCACTTTCTAACTGTAATACCACTTGCACAAACATCTCACATTTTAAGCATATTTCATACAGTCTAAATGTGATTAAAGCTAATGGAACCTAAAACAGAATTACTAAATTTCACTTGATTACCTCTTTAAATATGCTATTAAATTATTAAATATGCTAAAGCAAAGTTAATATAATCCAAGTGAAAAGCTTAACTATCCAATACAAAAAAGTTCTTTTTCATCTCTAAAAGTAGGCAGATTATATTTCAGAATATCTGCTTGATATAAAGTCCTTTTTCATCTCTAAAAAGAGGCAGATTATGCTTCAAATACCTGTTTGATAGAAACTCCACTCCTGGGGAACAGATCCACCAACTCCGGATGGTGTTTGCTGTTCTGGCTTCCGTGACCCAGGGTAAAATTTGTATTATCACCCCAGGTGTAGACATCTGTAGGATCTAAAATGAACATTGGTTTTTATACTCTTTTATAGCTTAAAACAATTACCAGTTTAATTCAACTATAGATATGTTCTACTAGTCAGTTGTCCTAAAAAATGACTCTTTACAGGAACTCACTACCACATTTTGATGCCAAAACCCTTCTTCAATCATCAATCTATTAACATGTGAGATAACTGGGAAATCACAGAGAGGCACATCTCAAGGTTTTGTTCCTTTTTTTCTTTAATTGCCAAATAAGTATAAATGCCACCTGCCATATCACCCTAGTTTCCATGAAAATAATATATATAGATATGGTTAAATGTAACATGTTATTAAAACACATGGAAAAAGCTTCTGAAGGAAGCAAATGGGATGCCACTGCCACTGCAGAACACGAACTGTCAACAGTTTATTAGGGTGCTGCCTGTAAAACTGGGGTACACCGTAATCACAGCTGAACTCCTGTTAAACTGGGGTACACCATAATCACAGCTGAACTCCTGTTAAACTGGGGTACACCATAATCACAGCTGAACTCCTGTTAAACTGGGG